TTTTTCATTTATGCATGGGAACCCCTAACAAACTGAGATTTCAAATTGCATGCTTGGGGTTTATTTTTTTTTTTCTTTTTTTTTTTTTTTTTTTTTTGGAGAGATTTTCACTGTAGGGCACGTGCACTCGCCAGACAGACAGAGAGAGACATCGAGACAGAAAGCGAGAAATCACCCCCAGGGGCGATGGGTATGCCGCAATCCCTTCTCCTACATTCTCCTCTCGGGATCTTGGGCACGCACGCACATGCGCCTGGCGTGTTTTAAGCCACCGGGTCCGGGACGCGAACTGTGGTCAACTACGTGGGAGTCCAGCGACATAGCCATTACGCTAACTGCTGGTTCCCCCTATGTTCAAGTGCATTAATAAAGACATAGTTTTGTTTGGGTTTTTGATTTGCCAGAGGGTGGCGTGCTTGCCAGAGAAAGCACCCCCATGAAGGATGGTCACGCATGGTCCCTTCTTCACTTCTCCACTCAGGATTTTAGGCACGCACAGGCATGGTGTGGTTTTCAAACTGCTGGGTCCAAGACTCAGCCCTGTAAGGGGCCGCGTGGGACCCAGCTGCGTCACTGCCGCCCCACCCACTGCACCAAGCCAGTTTCCGAAACGCTCGGTCTGAACGTCGAATACAGCGAATATTGTTCGCTCTAACCCACATTTGAGAAAAAGCTCTGGGGGGGCCTCTTGCCAGAGTAGGTGGGAAGAAGCTGTTGAATTTTGTGTACATATTTTTACTAACTAAAATCCGGTACTGACCTTTTTAACCTTTTAGTGTCCCCAACTCCTCATATGGAAATAGTGTTTTCAATGACCGAGGCCACCCCTCTGTTTTAGTAGGGTTTAGCCTGAACATAGAATTTCACAGCACTCTGAAGAGGTGCCAAGCAGATGGGTGGGTACGGTTTAGAGCATCCAGGAATGTTGGGGCCAGCAGATGACATGGTGGTGAAGGTGCTGGACTCTCACGTGATCAACTGCAGTTTGAGCCCTGGATCCGGCAATTGATGCTGGGCGTGTGTGTGTGTGTGTGTGTGCCCAAGATCCCAAGAGGAGAGTGGAGGAGAAGGGATTGTGGCATGGCCATCCCCGGGGGGTGATTTCTCATTTTCCTTCTCTCTGTCTCCCTCTGGAGAGTGCGCACCCTACAGCAAAAACAAAAAATAAGAGAATCAAGTGGTGTTTTCAGAATCTGAAGTGTGTTCTAAAAATGTTGGTCTTTAACAACCTTGTAGCCCGACGGAGCACGTAAAACCTTAGCTTAGCTACGCAGATCATAGGCTTTCTCTCAGATGGTCTTCCTCCACTGAATACGGCAGGAAGATCCCCCCACAGGCAAACCACTGCAGAGACTGGGACCGGAGGGAAAGCATGCTGACTCGCCTGCGTTTAGTACAGCGTGAAAGGACACCGGAGAGAAGGCAGGAAAGTAACCCATGTGGTGCCACCGACTCTTCCAGACCTCTGCCTCTGAGTGTGCCCTGGGTCTGGTGACTTGCCCCTGGCAGACAGAACATGGCTGCAGTGGAGAGTCCAGGCCCCGTTGTCAAAGTCTGTGGCTTCTGTCTCTCTCTCCTGGGTCACTGTGGGAAAAGCCACTGCTGGACTGTGAGGACACTCGAGGCTCAGCCAGACTGGAGGTCCAGGTGGTAAAGAACCGAGACCCTTTGCAAACAGCCATTTGGGACCCATCATCCCTTAGATGACCACCCCCTAGCTGGCACCTTGACTGCAACATGTGCATGCATGCCCAAAATCCTGAGAGAAGAATGGAGGAGGAGGGATTGCAGCATGGCCTTCCCCCCAGGAGATATTGCTTACCTTCTATCTCTCTGTCTCTCCAGAGAGTACACTTGCCCCATGGCAAAAATCTCTTTTAAAAAAATGCCAGAAATAATTCATCAAATGCTTAAGAAGTAGCTGACAAGAAGCACCAGGTGTCCATCTGTTAAATAAAGGAGACAAAATGGGGAGGGACATGTGAAGGCGGGGTGGCCTGCTGAATCTGCAGGGGACCACATCTCCGGGTCAAGGTGGGGACGGCTTTGGCTCTCTTTCGGGGATGAAGGGGGAGGCCGAGATGGCACAGGACTTCTGGCAGGCCTGGGCAGTTTGCTGACGGAGGGCGTGATGGCACCCTGCTCAGCACCCTGCATGCTGGTGGTAGCTAGTGCGACGGGGTGCCGCTCCCAGGGTGAACTCAGGGCTCTCTAGCACTTTGTGAGCCTGGTTCCTAAGACCCGCTGCGTGTGTGGCCGGCCCGGCTCTCTGGGTGCCTGGAGAGCACCTGGCCCCTTCCCCGGGGATGTTCCCACAGGAGCGAGGCCTCGTGTCTGCCTGGGGGCCCGGTTCTGGGGCGACGTCCTGAGGGGACCCTGCTGCTGGACTGCAGAGACACCCGGGTCCTGGGCTCAGGGACTCCTGAGGGACTGAGCTGCTCCGGGAGCCCCGGATGGGACCCAGCCTCGAGGTGGCGTTAGAGGGCCCACCTCGGGGCCTGTTACCGTCGTCTGTACTTGGCGCGCTCTCCTCAGAGCTCGGGCTCTCCGAAGGGAAAGGAGGGAAATGCTGCACCTCCCGTCCCAGGGTGGGGAAATGGCTCCATGCCCTTCACCCCTGCCGGTGACGACCACGGATACAATGTCTTTGTTTATTTCTTCTGAGGCTGAGAGACCCCCACCACACACACACACACACACACACACACACACACGCACGCACACCACGCTCACCCCCGGCGTCAGCAGCCTGGATTGCAGCACCTGCATTAGAGGCAAGCCCTGGGACGCAACCCGGAGCCATCCCCTCTGGGCTCATGGAATTCCACTGTGTCCCTTAAGGCCCCACTCTCAAAATCTTTAAATGATAGGGTTTTTCCTTTATTTGATTCATGACAGCACACATGCATGAGGGGGAGAGAGGCGCACCTCAGCAAGGTCTGACCACGCTGAGATGCCCCCTTGCCAGCTCTCGGTGTGCCAGGATCGTGGGCCTGCCTGCACACACGCCCGGCCTGTTCCCACGCCGTCCCAGAGATCCAACCCTCAGCCAGCTGGGAGGCTCGCACGCTGCAGGTTGCTTAGTCCGGGGCTCGAAGTCTTTACTGAGCCCTTACTACGTCCCCAAACTCACCCCGACCCGGGTGGGGTGCAGGCCAGCTGGCCCGCCGTCTGCA